CTTCATGATGACGACGAGTGGAAATTCGTACAAACATGCGCTTTCTTCACTGCATGCATGTACAAGTGTCAACAGGAGGAGACAGGAGTACAGGAGTCGATATGGAATCCTATTTAGGGCATTTTCGGCTGTTTTTCTGCTACTCAGATACCTAGCCCTTTTTCATTCCTATGTTTACCCACAATCCGTGGTCGCGGGCTTTGCCTTTAAAGTTGAAATGGGCCATTTTCGAAACATGGGAATCAGGGTAAGTGTGGTCAGCACAGAAATCCTGTCAGTTATCAATACCATCGGTTTAACACGTTGACGACGAGCCGTTTTTTTCATGAATTGCCCGTGGGACGGCACGTTTTTCTTCGTAGAAACTTAGTAATTTTTGAATAAATGAATGGCTACGGTCAAAGTGTTCAAGAAATGCAAGATACGAGTATACGAATCTCGAATCTTTGACACAATTTAGCTTTTATTGCTCCAATCTTCCAAAACCAGGCATTTTTTACCAACTTCTTCCTCTGGAGGCAGATTTGGCTGAAAATTTGTCTGCCGGGGTAGTTTGACCTCCTAAAGATCATTATTGCATCCCCTTGGCCCAGAATGTTTGTTCTTGAACTAATTTTATGAAAAGAAAATGAAACAATCGCGCAGATTTGAGTTATATAATAACTGTGGGACAGCATTGGGCGACGCCGTTCCACAAGACAAACTTTCTGTCGTCCACCATTGACGGAAATCGTCGTCAACGCATTAAGTGGACATGATATTCTTGTTTAGGGGGTCGAACTACCCCTAGGGACAAATTTTCTGCTAATTTGGTGATTCACGGTATTTTGGCGCCCAGAGAGGAGCAAGCTACCCCCCAGGGACACGTTTACGACAAACTTGGCTGTTCGTCCATCTTTATTCTTAGAAAATACTGGCAGACACCATTGTCTGCCATCGTCGTCAACGTGTTAACCATGCGCGCAGTAATGCTCGTCAACCAGACTGGTGTGGCATAAATGGCAAGAGGTCATTCGTAATGGATAGACACTCATTTCGGTTGTTCATCCTAGGATTCCTTGCAAAGATCCAGAATGCCTCTCTTTGTTCCGCTCATGTGGTGGTGGACTGGTAATTTTGTTTCTCACACTCGGGTTTTCCTTGGTAGTTCTCCTAAGCCAAAAACGCTAGGGTGTCGAGGCGTTTGGCGGTCTAGTGGATGCAACATCCAAACCTTGAGCTATGTTTAGGCCTCTGAGGACGACGATCCTGTCGAAACGTCAGGCCATTTATAATAAAGTCTTCCACCTACCAACCTCTTTAAAGGGGGGATTTCAAGCGGCCTGCGGAGGGGACCGTGTTAGAGCCTAGTGGCCACGCGTGGTCACTTCATATGACGAGAACATTGGTGGATATGGGCCTCTTTCCCCTAAACATGAGGGCGGCGTTCGTTGAAACCGCTCGGGCGAGGCTGCAAGAATCCCAGGGCGAACAGATAGTCGAAGTCGCCTAGGACTAGGATGCCGATCTATACCTTGAACGCACGGACCCTTGCATCGAAAGCGGACATCGAATGCCTGATGTGGAAGCAAGTACGACGTCATCAGACTGACCGAGACGAGGAAGCATCGCCTGCTACACGCAGATGAAAGTGGAGACGGAGGATGCGATAGCAGAAGCGTTGGTCGTCCTCGTCAACACGCCTTGGCCATGAACATATATTTGAACGAACATCTGCCTCCCGAATCAAAAGTTTGGAAATAGATGTTTCGAGAAAAACGGGTGAGGACCATTATATCGAAGCTCTCGGAAAATAGTGGAACGAGCATGGTAAAGGTCTAAGTTTATCGTGCCGATCCATATCATCTTATGACTCGCAAACTCCAGAAGCCCTACTCTTTACGCTGGACATAGGGAGTTTCTTGGTGGACATATTCCATCATGGGACCGACCACAACATCTTCAATCGAAGGTTTTGCTTGTACGGCGTTGCTCGCCGCTACTTTCCAAGTTCTACATGGGATCGAACAGCCCTCTCCTTCGTGGGGTTTTCACTTTTCGACGCAAGGAGAGTCAGCCTCAAATGCAAGAAACAAAGCCCCAAGACCGTCATCAACTGGGATCACTTCACTTCTCTCGCTGGGCTCTGGGAGGATTCCGTCATCGACAACATCGACGAGGAATACGAACAGTTCGCCTACATCAAGAGTTCCAAGAGTACCAAGAAGGGTTCATCTCTGGAATCTCTCGAGCTGATTGACATGAGCCGCTGGCAATTACCAGCTGACGTCTGAGCTTGCGAAACTATGCAAAGAAGCGATAGAGGAGGACCTCTGTGAGAGAACAGCAGCAGCATTTGGTGGAGGCATCAGCTGGGAAAAGCGCCCGCAACACCTACCGCGACTTCGCCAACTGTAAGACCAAGTGACCGGCCTTCGACGTCCGGATGGAACAATCAGCGCATCAAGGGCAATGGAGAAGGCAATCCACGAATCCTATTCTGCCTTCACGTCCGGATCACACCTGAATCTCTTTGACAGCCACGTCCACCAGCCAGCGTACCGAGATAGAGACCGAACAAGATGGATACATCGGTTCTTCAGTTCTCCCTGCCAAAGTCAAGAAGCCATCTCATTGGTGAAGAACCGTACGCCAGCCGGTCCCGACAGGAT